GTTGGAAGGTCATGGTGCTGTCCACATACAATTGTCTATGATGCACTGCATTTAAATTTGGAATATCTATTTTATTTTTAGATGTGCGGTGTCATTTAATTTAGTTCATATATTTTCTCTTACAAGTAAATACAATGTTTTACAATTTATTTTGCATTTTAATTAATTGCTTTAGCCACTAGTCCACCCTATCAAAATAAAGTATCTTTGAACCTAACACGTCTATATCAGCGATATCGCCAGTGAACATTAGACGCGAACGGGCTTTTTCTATGGGCTTTTTGTAGATCACAATAAACAAAATTATATAATAAACATCTTCAATTCATTGCAGCTTGCGTTGGTAAAGGGGAATGTATTCGCAAGGGGGCCAAATTATTTTTGGTCTGCATCTTACCTTTAGCCTTTAAAAATATGTTTTTATTAATTTTAACGGTCTGGTCTTTGACTTTCGTGGAATGTTTGTTCGAGTTTTCATATAGTTGATGCGTTTTCGTTTTAATTTGAGCTTGGGTGTACTGGGCCCTTGTTCGGTCTGTTTTTCATCGTCGCCTTTATTCTCTTGTTCGGTTACGTTCGGTTCGGTTACTGTAGCCCATCGAAATCGAAAACATGCATGACATCGAAAACATCACAAATAAGCTGCCACGATCTCAATCTAGGTGAAAATCAAAACGACAACACTTTTTATACGTTGAAAACAAAAAAATATCAATAAATTGCGTAGTAAAACAAATTAACAACGTGAAGTCAAATCTTATACATGACACTATAAGATTTGACGTTGAAAAAAGGAATTCGGCCGCTGTTTGAAAATTATTTTTTTAGAAAAGAAGATTCTATTATTATTAGGAGTAGAAGATTTGAAAGTTTTACGAATCTGATCTTATTAATTTTGAAAATATATTTATACTAGTGGACCCCACAGACGTTGTCCTGCATGATATTTAAAGCGATTAGGATATTAAGCAAAGTATGAAAGTACCGACTGCAGTGCCATCTGCCGGGTGATTTTTGAATCTAAACCATTCCCAGATCCCCTTGAACACACACAAAAAATTTCATCAAAATCGGTCCAGTCGTTTGAGAGAAGTTCAGTGACATACACACTCACAGAAGAATTATATATATAAAGATTTCTTATAACGAATTAACTTGTACAATACCTGTCTATGGAATAAAAGGGATAGCGGGAAAATGGAAAATGGTGGCGAGAATGAGAGACAAGTGAGGAATTTGGAGGGATTCACTCTGTTGGAGGTCGTGTACAGTGCGAGACTTGGTTTATTGTAATAGATAAAAACATTATTTCAATCTAAAGCTTATCAGCTAGTAACCCGAATTCTTTCGATAGCTTGTTGAGTGGGATATATCTCAAGAACTACAGCTAATAAAACACAAAATTCGCTGGCTCACTAAAACAAGATTCTATGAATTTTTTTTTATGATTTCAGTAATCGCACTTTGAAAAATTTGACTTTTATAAATATTGACTTAGTAGGGCTAATGCTTAAGTCACCCCATAAGTTACCCCATAATGCGGTGGTCGTTTACGGAATCCGAGATTTGTGAGGTCCAAGAAGTTTATATGATACCTCCGCAAAAGATGGGGGGGGGCTATACTGCAAAAGCGATCACCTTATAAGGAACACGTTAGACTTGGGTAATTAACCATGTTTGTTATATGTTCAAGTTATTAAAAAATCTAAAAATTGACTAAAAGCATGCGGGAACTGCGGCAGTTACCTTTATGGCTAGTTTTGTATTATATTAACTGTAATATTTTTTAAATATACCAGCAGCGCTACAACCTTTTTAGGTGTAGCTTTCAGATTTTTGTATCTGTTCATTTGTCTATCTAATCGGTAAGTGGGTGGTATCATGAACGGGTGCTACTTGTGGTGACTGGTACCGTACTTGAATTCGTGTATGATAGTTGTTTCGACTATGTATTTGCGTGTTGTTCCCATGAGAATGTAAGTGCTTGCTCCTATTTCACCATGCCTCCTGCTGATAGAGGACAAATCTTTGTTTTTAATTGATTTTATTTATTACTTTAGATGTCATGTGGAACATGGTGTAATGGTTGCTGCTCCTTACAAATGTTGTGTTAAACAAAAAACTTGGCGATTAAAAAGAGTGGCGGAGAGTTTATTGCCAGTTTTTCTCTTTCGTTCTTGATTTGAGAACTGGCAGTAAATGTAAAATTAGAAGCATTTAATGTATATTTCTTTTTTGACGTTCATAAGTGTACATTGTTTTACCTATATGAATAAATGATTTTTGACTTTGACATGCTCAGCCAGCATTTCTTTCGATTTGCGCATTTAACACTAGCTTGTACGGTGAAAGAAAAACATCGTAAGGAAACTGGCATGCTTTAGACCCAAATAGACCAGGCAAATAGATCTGGCAAAGAAGGCTGAATCGCGATATACATAAATGAGGTCATGGTTTGTAAGGCTACTGTTTTTTTTAAAAGTCATACAATACAAAAATCTTACCCGGTTCAGAATAAGGAAAATGTTGGAAACGATTCACGGAGATATGTAAGCAACAACTTTATTTATTTAAAAAAGGTTTACCAACGAGCATTACATCTAGGAACACAAAAATAACAATAAAAATGGATTCTACATGCTTTTAAACTTAAACACATTTATATTTCTATCTCCTTTTTTAGGTATCTATGGGCCCTTTATTGGCAAAGCCCTCCAACTACCGCCATTTCTGTATGCACTGTGCCACTCTCTGCCATGTACCACCTGCTGTTTCCTTAAATTGTTGGACACCAGTTTAGTACTTTGTTGTTCCACTTTTCTATTCCTCTTACAAACTTAATTACTATTGCTAAGTGCTAACTAATAAAATTTTACCAACTATAAAAATGTGATCTTAAAACCGAGATATAATTAATGATAACTTATTAATTTTTCTTTTAAGACAAATTTCAATTTTCTAAAATACAAATTACTCTTCCAATACCACAAATAATTACTCTCCTAACTTTCCATCATCAAACTACTCTATTGGTAATTTACAAATAACTAGAGAGGAACTGTTAAAAAAGTTACAAAATGTCGATCTCTCTAAGGGTGCTGGCTTTGACGGTATCCCACCTATCTTTGTTCGTTTTTGCGCTCCTGCTCTTGTTACACCGTTATTGATTATATTTGAAAAATCTTTGCATGAGGGAGTATTTCCTAGCCTATGGAAGATAGCTAAAGTTACACCAGTGTATAAATCTGGAGACAAGGGTGATGTTTTGAATTATAGACCTATCTGTATTCTAAACTTATTTGCTAAGATATTCGAGGGTTTTATATATACCCATATGTATAACCATCTCAAACATATATTAAGCCCACGACAACATGGATTTGTTACTGGAAGGTCAACCAACTCTAATCTATTATGCTATACTACTTATTTATGTTCATCGTTCAATAATAAAAAGCAGGTGGACGCTATATATACCGATTTTTCAAAAGCTTTTGATAGAGTGGACCATTTTGTATTGCTTGTGAAGGCTCAACATGTGGGAATCCATGGGAACTTATATAGATGGTTAACTTCTTACCTGTTGAACCGCACACAACTCGTTGCTCTTTGTGGATATGAATCTGTGCCATTTTTAGTAACATCAGGCGTGCCCCAGGGGTCAAAGTTGGGTCCTTTATTGTTTTTGTTATTTGTGAATGACTTGCTAAGCAAAATTAGTAGTGAATGTTTGGCATATGCAGACGACATAAAAGTCTTCAGACGTATATCTGATGAAAGAGATTGTGTGACCCTTCAATCGGATATTAATACTATATCTGCTTGGTGCGATGAAAACTCTATGGCTCTGAATATTAAGAAGTGCCAGGTTATAACATTTACAAAAAGTAGGAACCCTATCCAGTATAACTATAATGTTAAGGGTATTCTTGTGGATAGAGTTGAGGTGGTTCGAGACTTGGAAGTAATATTTGACTCTGTTATGTCATTTAGACCTCATTATGATCATATCTGTAGTAGAGCTAACCGGATGTTGTCCTTTATTCTTAGAACCGCTAAACCGTTCAGGCGAGCCGACTCCTTGATTGCCTTATACAGCTCTCTCGTGAGAACCATGGTTGAGTACTGTTTAGCTGTATGGGCCCCGATATACAAAGTTCATACAGATAGATTAGAATCTATACAAAGGCGGTTTGTTAGAGCTTTATGCTCAAAGTATGGTCTTAGGCGCAAATTAAAGCAATATGACCAGCGTCTTGCCCACTTTCAGATTGTAAGTCTTGAAAAGAGAAGATGGATGAGCGACCTGTGCACTTTGCATAAAATAGCAAATGGCTCACTTGACAGCTATCTTTTGGATGAACTTGACATCAAGGTACCGACGCGTTCTGTGCGTAAGCCGCAACTATTTATGATACCCACAAGTTACAACAATGTGCAAGTATTATAATTCTGTGTGTTCTCATGTTGATATTTTTCACAATAGTAGTTATGAATTTAGAAAGATTATTCGTGGTGCAGACTTGCAACCAGAATAACTTAATTTTCTTTTTTGTCATTAAATTTTTCTATTTTTTTTTGTCATTAAGTTTAATATATGTACATATTTTATACTGTATTTAATTGTTAATATTTGGTAAACCAGCACTGAAGATTCCACTAAAATGCTGTGTACAGATATAATTGGAAATTCAGGTTTACAAATGTTGCTTAGTGTGTAATAACTATATGTATTTCACCAATCTGTTTTCTGTTTCTGTTCCTTAAATGTAAAAATGAAAAATAAAAAAAAATGTAATAAATTTATTAGTTCAATATTATTACTATTTTTGCTAACTCTAAAAACCATATTCTCAATAACTTATACAGTAAAGCGGGCCATAGACGGACCGCATGTTGCAGTCGGTCTTGACTGCAACATGCGGTCCGTCTATGGCCCGCTTAAGATCAAGAATATTTCCAATACCAAGCAGAATAAGCGCACAGTAGAGAACTCTTGTATGTTAACTGAAAAAGCGCGTGTGCCAGATGTACGAATACAGGGAGGCTTCGCTTCGTCGCATATAGCCTTCAATCTGCTCATCACTCCAGTATCCAACATTTTCCTTATTCTAAAACGGGTAAGATTTTTGTATTATATGCCTTTAAAAAAAACAGTAGCATTACAAACCATGACCTCATTTATGTATATCGTGATTCAGCCTTCTTTGCCTGACAAACGCGGTCTATTTGGGTGTAATGGCGCTTCTAAACGGGCCATGTTTTGCTGCAATTGATGGCTGCACTGTTGGCAACTAATTGCCCGGCCATTACAAAAATATTTTGATGCAGCTGATGGCCGTACAATCTATGGCTGGGCAATGTGTTGTGGCGCTTCTAAACGGGCCATGTTTTACTGCAATTGATGGCTGCAACACTGTGGCCCGGCAACATTGCAAACAATAGCAGCCACAATATGCAATATTGCAGTAATGTCCCGGCCATATAGCCAAACATGTTTTGTATAGCCACATATGGCCGATGTTAGTGCTGGCATCTCTTATACACGTAAAGTACTTCTTGCACTACACTCTGACAACTTATTGAATCTGATGGATTGATAGACTTTTACCGATTTCGTTGCAATAAAAACCAAAGTATATTTCAATTTGCTTATTTTATTGCTATTTATTATTATTTTTTCTAGGTACCCCAGATTAGTAACTACACTACACTATTAGAATTTTAAATTTAATTTTTACATTTACCCCTTTACACCGGGAAAATGCAATAGAGAGTTATTCTGTAATCATCCATAATTAAATATAAGGCACATCAAACAAAAGCCTAGTACATGTTTAATATTATTCACAGTAAAAAATAATAAATTGTAAAAGACCACAAAATAACATATTATAGATGAATGTGTCAATTTAGTTATAGTAGGTACCTACTCGCATTTACCCCACCTGACCCTATACAAAATGTGATCTTAAAACCGAGATATAATTAATGATAACTTATTAATTTTACTTTTAAGACAGCTTTCAATTTTCAAAAATTCAATTGTAATAAATTTATTAGTTAAATATATTTACTATTTTTGCTAACTCTAAAAACCATATTCTCAAAAACTTATACAGTAATGGCGCGTCTAAACGGGCCATGTTTTGCTGCAATTGATGGCTGCACTGTTGGCCACTAATTGCCCGGCCATTACAAAAATATTTTAATGCAGCTGATGGCCGAACAATGATTTTTGTTTTGTATGAATCTATGGCTGGGCAATGTGTTGCAATATGTCTGCAATAGTATGGCCCATGATGCAGACTCCTAAACGGGCTACAAAAACCGGCAACAATGGCTGACGAAATCACACTTGTCGCAGCAGCTTATATTGTTTTAAAAAAGAAACATAAAAAGAAGAGATTGTGGATTCGACCTTACTTAAATAGGCGTGAAACTGTAGACAATTTGAGTCTAGAAATAAGTCTTGATAATAAATTATTCAAGAACTAGAATGTCAAAAGTAGTCATTTTTCGTAGTAAAGTAGATAACTCTTGTATGCTCTTATCTGCTCATCACTTCAGTTTCCAACATTTTCCTTATTCTGAACCGGGTAAGATTTTTGTTTTGTATGACTTTTAAAAAAAACAATAGCCTTACAAACCATGACCTCATTTATGTATATCGCGATTCAGCCTTCTTTGCCAGATCTATTTGCCTGGTCTATTTGGGTCTAAAGCATGCCAGTTTCCTTACGATGTTTTTCTTTCACCGTACAAGCTAATGTTAAATGCGCAAATCGAGAGATATGCTGGCTGAGCATGTCAAAGTCAAAAATAATTTATTCATATAGGTAAAACAATGTACACTTATGAACGTCAAAAAAGAAATATACATTAAATGCTTCTAATTTTACATTTACTGCCAGTTCCCAAATCAAGGGCGTAGAACGAAAGAGAAGAACTGGCAATAAACTCTCCGCCACTCTTTTTAATCGCCAAGTTTTTTGTTTTACACAACATTTGTAAGGAGAAGCAACCATTACACCATGTTCCACATGACATCTAAAGTAATAAATAAAATAAATTAAAAACAAAGATTTGTCCTCTATCAGCAGGAGGCATGGTGAAATAGGAGCACGCACTTACATTCTCATGGGAGCAACACGCAAATACATAGTCGAAACAACTATCGTACACGAATTCAAGTACGGTACCAGTCACCACAAGTAGCACTCGTTCATGATACCACCCACACCCATTAGATAGACAAATGAACAGATACAAAAATCTGAAAGCTAGACCCAAAAAGGTTGTAGCGCTGCTGGTATATTTAAAAAAATATTACAGTTAATATAATACAAAACTAGCCATAAAGGTAACTGCCGCAGTTCCCGCATGCTTTTAGTCCATTTTTAGATTTTTTAATGACTTGAACATATAACAAACATGGTTAATTATCCAAGTCTAACGTGTTCCTTTTAAGGTGATCGCTTTTGCAGTATAGCCCCCCCCCCATCTTTTGCGGAGGTATCATATAAACTTCTTGGACCTCACAAATCTCGGATTCCGTAAACGACCACCGCATTATGGGGTTACTTATGGGGTGACTTAAGCATTAGCCCTACTAAGTCAATATTTATAAAAGTCAAATTTGTCAAAGTGCGATTACGGAAATCATAAAAAAAATTAATAGAACCTTGTAATAGTGAGCCAGCGAATTTTGTGTTTTATTACCTGTAGTTCCTGAGATATATCAATACAACAAGCTATCAAAAGAATTCGGGTTACTACCTGATAAGCTTTAGATTGAAATAATGTTTTTATCTATTACAATAAACCAAGTCTCGCACTGTACACGACCTTCAACAGAGTGAATCCCTCCAAATTCTTCTACTTGTCCCTCATTCTCGCCACCATTTTCCCGCTATCCCTTTTATTCCATAGACAGGTATTGTACAAGTTAATTCGTTATAATAAATATAAATATATTTTCAAAATTAATAAGATCAGATTCGTAAAACTTTCAAATCTTCTACTCCTAGGGTGTAAAGATAATAGAATCTTCTTTTATGAAAAACAAAATTTCAAACAGCGGCCGAATTCCTTTTTTCAACGTCAAATCTTATAGTGTCATGTATAAGATTTGACGTTGTTAATTTGTTATTTGTACAATATTATATATATTTGTATAATTTTCCCTGTTAATTCCTCCAGTACCTGCTACTGCTCAGTAGAAGTAAAAGTAAAGTAAAAAATCATTTAATCATATAGGTAACATTATTTACACTTATGACTCGTCAGTAAAGCAATACATATTAATGCTTCTAATTTTACATTTACTGCCAGTTCTCAAATCAAGGGTGTAGAACGGGATAGATAGAGGCGGTAGAAAGATTCGAGGTTCAAAGAGACGACGCGAGGTTCGAGGGGGAGAGACTCGCGAGGGAACGTGTCATGTGGGAGCAGGACGAAGCGTACCAGATTAGTCTTGATGCTGATAGGTATTTATTTAAAAAAACAATTACATCAGCGACCATTACAAATGGATCTCATTAACTTTAAAATTTTAATATATATAAATTACGTGTCACGTTGTTTGTCCGCTATGGAATCCTAAACTACCGAACCGATATCAATCAAATTTGCACACCGTGTGCAGTTTAAATAAATACCTATCAGCATCAATACTAATCTAGTACGCTTCGTCCTGCTCCCACATGACACTTTCCCTCGCGAGTCTCTTCCCCTCGAACTTCGCGTCTTCTCTTTGAACCTCGAATCTTTCTACCGCCTCTATCTTTCCCGTTCTACACCCTTGATTTGAGAACTGGCAGTAAATGTAAAATTAGAAGCATTAATATGTATTGCTTTACTGACGAGTCATAAGTGTAAATAATGTTACCTATATGATTAAATGATTTTTTACTTTACTTTTACTTCTACTGAGCAGTAGCAGGTACTGGAGGAATTAACAGGGAAAATTATACAAATATATATAATATTATACAAATAACAAATTAACAACGTCAAATATTCTACGACCCTATATATCAATAATTGAGAACAATGATTTAAGCACGAATACTAATAAGGAGAAAATAAAGGCTTGGAGCTATATAACAGAGAAGTAAACATTTTAATAAGTACTTGCATCTCAAAAAATGACCACATTGTTTAATCAAAACATGTAATTTTTCAGATTTAATCTAGCAAATATAAGGACAAGAGACAAAAAACAATTGATGAATCAGTGGAAGTGCACTAAATTGAATACAAAAAAAGAGTTGTCATCTTATCGCTGTGAAACATCAAAAACTGGAGGTGGAACAAAGCCACCATCACCTTCTCCAGACACAATGGACGTGGCAGAGATGATACCGCAACAGTTTGAAGTAGATTTCAATGAATTTGATTGTGATGGTGTCGGGGCAGGAATGTTAATTATAAATATGATTTATGGTGATGTTCAAGGTTCAACCTCTCAAGCATAAGCATAATGCTCACAACCGTACTTTATTCCCCTACAGGGTAGTCAGAGATATTCTAATACCTCAGAACATTCATGTTGCACTTGTAGTACCGAAACTCAGTCCAGCCAGAAGTGAGCCCATTCCCACTTATAATGGACAGTGGGTTTAATACACCTTAACACCTGAGTGCGAACCACTCAACATGATACTTAAATTAATAGATGTTATTTATATAGTTCAGGATATTACAAATAAAATCATTTTGGAAACAATTGATATCCCAAAATCAAATAAAGCCAACAAGGTAATAAATTAGTTTTGACATAACTTGAATACTGGAAAAGCCAGACAAGGTGTGCACAACAGTGACAACATAACAATTTCATTATTTTGTAGGATTATAACCCAAAGGTTAAAGAAAGGTTAAAGAAAATCACGTCAAACTGAACAACAACACACACCACACAACACACCGGTATTATATTTAAATTATCTCTATCTCTAAATAGAATAAAAGAAAGTTGCTATCCAGGTCTGTAGCATGTGCAATTAGTTTTTCTAAACTACACAACTGATTTTGATCTGACTAATATTATATAGACTGTTCTTCCAGGAAGGATTTGTATAACATGAATTATATTTTTTTAAGTTTTGCATGGACAGAGCTTAAATTAATATTCTCTTATTTATTGCAAAAAGCAAGTAGTAGTTTTAGTTTTGGAGAAGCCTCGTATCAAGCTATGCATAGCTTTCGAGCTCTGGAAAATGAGCGGCATCAAATAGAACACAAACATAGAGTTAAGAATATGTCAGAGATGCACAACCAAGTAATGATTAATTTAAAATTACAAACCGAAATTCTGATGAAGACATTAGAGTCACTTAAAAATAAATAGTATAATTAAATAAAAATGTTTTAAAGATAAATAGTGATTTATTTATTTAAATAACTTAATTGTTAAAACAACCTAAATTAAGAACTATCAAACAAAAGTTTTCATCAATAAAAATGGCTCTCACTGCTGCTCCACGCAGTGTATTTTGAGATGAGGGCACTGTTGGTAGTGAGGGCACTGTTGGTAGTGAGGGCAGGGTCTCTTCATCATCATCAGAGATAGGTTCCTCTTTTAAATCAATGGCTATATTGTGCAATACTGCCAAATATAAAGATTATACACTGTAGTTGTACAAAATAAACTTTTGGTTATTTAAAAAAATGTTTCTATTTTCAGGCGCTGTTAGACTTCTTAACGTCGAAAGGTTACCCACAAGAGAAGTACAAAGTTATTTCTAGGTGGCCTAGAAGAGACGTAAGTTTATTAAATATTTTTTGTCTGGCACCTGGCCGAGTTTAGTTTTTATGGGACAGGAGGCTTATGGAGCAGGCGGGTCACTTATAGTTAAGTATTTATCGCCACCCATGGACACCAGGTCTGCAAGTGCGTCGTCGATCTTTTAGATTCGTACTTATACCATTCGTTCCGGCGAATCATTGATTTGATTTGATTGGCAGGTAACATTTTTAATATAAAATACTTTACCAGACTAAAGCGTGATTCTTCATTTCGATCCCTCAAACGGTGACCACGCTTGAAATATTAAAAAATTATAATAATAACTTTGTTCATGACAGAAATAAGTTGTGACAAAATTCATCTATCGCTAGTCCCCCACACTAGGGAGTGTTTTGTGGCCGTGGGTAACTAGATAACAATTATTCCGTGGTACATTGTGCTTGTTTAAAACAATTTTTGAAGTGAAACTTCTTTAGGCGCATGAGGGTAAATTTTTTACGGATATGTCACGAAGATGTGCAGCGTTTTTGTCGAAGAAAAGGGAGAGAGCGATTGAGACCGATTAAGAGAGAGTAAGAAGGGTGAATTAGCTTATATAAATTTCGTAAAGAGAATTTATGAAATTTTATATTTTATGCAAAATAATTTATTGAAATCTCAAATGACGAATTGTAAATTAATGTGTTTTTATTATGGAAGAAATAAATTTAATTAATTAATTGTATTAATTTTCGACACTTAATATTGTAATGACAATTAAATTCATTAAATTCCTAACGTATCCTATTTTTCCCTCCGTCTAAGTCTCGGAAATTTAAAATTTTAGATTTGTATAAATATGAACAATAGTTAAAAATTAGTTTGCCAAAGAAGTTTCACTTCTGACATGTGTACTTTGTACGCACGCACTTTTTTTAAAAGTCAAAGTAGTTTAACACTAATCAAACAGAAGTTAACATTTAGTATGCGTAAATGTGTGTGTGATTCGAGAGTAGCGGAGAGTTTTATGCGCCATGTCTGTCTCAGGTTATGGAACCTAATTAGATGCCACACATATTTATGCAGCTTCGCGATTTAATCGCTATTCAAAACGGAGCGTATTATAAAGTAAAGTTAATTAATGTTCAATTTATCATTCAGCTGACAGCGGAATCTCAGAGCAGCACACTGATCGCACTCGAGCTATATCCACAAGAAACCATCATTCTAGAGGAGCGGTGAAGCGCGCTAGTTTTTTGCAACTACCCACCATTTGTCATACGTTTTTTTACCTAAACGGGGATTTCCTCTTAACTTTGCCGTTTTTAATAAAAAATTTAATTGTGGGTACATTTCGTTGTATTTATTTTTATATCGGTCCAGCCACGTTTCGAAAGTGTGAACAGATTCTTCTGACAATTCTAAGCGAAAATTATCCACAAATTGGAATTTTTGCCCATAATTTAAGTCATATCAGCATGTGATTGGCGGGCTTGCTATATTTTTTATTCGTATAAGTAATCGGCCCCATAACAGTGTCAATGTATGACGTATTTGAACTAAAAGATAAACCTTGATGCAAAGTTTGCGGTGTACCTCAAAAAAATATTAGCATTGTCTAATTGCAACACGTTACAATAATAATTCTTAATTTGTATAAAATGCATTATGTTAATTAAATATTTTAAGATAAATCGTTGTATTTCTTTATACCCCTTTCAACTATTAATCTCCAATTAAATGGTTACGGCACTTGTTTAAATTAATTAAGTGAGACTAGTTTATCAGAGCTATTTTCTTTCTACTGTATTCTTTACCAGCTTTTCTGAGTAGAACTCACTTGCCGCACCGATGTTTAATAAAAAATTAAAGGCTTTAAAATATGTATAATTTCCCTTAATTCTATTTTATTACAAAATATTTACCAAAAAATGAAATATACTGCTCAAAACAATTAGCGGAAGAAGATTTTTCTCCTTTCTATTGCTTAAACTAAAATTAGATTTAAATTAACTTGTACGCTATTTTTCCCCTTGTTAATTTGTTAATTACTACAATTAATAAAAAAACATCAATTTGTATTTTATTTATTAAAAGAAAAATAAAATGTGCATTGTAGACGAAAAACTAATTGGTGATAAAAAAGGTCCATCAAAGAAATATTCTTATATCGTTTGAATATTCGTCTTTAGTGACTTTCAGTAACGTGTGTGGCCTCCATGAGCCCCAATCACGGCTTGACAACGACGCGGCATTCTTCGTATGATGCTCCGAATATCTTCTTGTGGAATTCGCTCCCATTCTTCAATCAACGCTTCAGTGAGCTGCTGCAGTGTTTGAGGTGCAATCGGACGCTTCCGGATGCGCCTGTCAAGCAAGTCCCAAATGTGTTCAATTGGATTTAGGTCAGGGCTCATGGAAGGCCACTCCATTACACGGATTTCCTGCTGTCGTAAGTACTCTGACGTGATGGCTGCAGTATGCGGCCTGGCATTATCTTGCATTAAAAGAAAATCTGGGCCCATACCATATGTCCGTGACATATCTCCGTGAATCGTTAAGTAATGTTAGTCAAATATTTTCAACTGTATGTATAAACTCAAGTTAATATGCATATATACTGCTCAAAACAATTACGGGAACAAAACTTTAAAGTAGAACTAACCTTTTTACTTAAGGTTTAAATTATTACTGGCCACTAGATAATGTAAAGGCATTGTCGAAGAAAATAAAAAACAAAAGAGATTCGGCGTTTTGGTTAGTAGTCCTATAATAAAGTGGCAGTGTCTCTAGAAACACCTAAAAACAAAGTGACGTCTTTGAATTTTCATTAGTTTCTAATCACAGAAAACACATTTTAAGTAGTTTTTTTCAATCTTTTGAGTATTAATAGAAATTGAAGTGAGCCTTTTGAGTATTGTTATTCATTGAAGCGAGTGAGTTTAGGTCATAATGCCAGATCTGACTGAATTGCATGTCTCCCGAGCTATCGCTTTGCTTGAAGTGGGTCGAACTATGCGTTATGTAGGAAATGATCTAGGAGTAGCCCCTTCTGTTATCTACAGACTTTGGAAGCGATACCGTGAGACGGGAGAATACTCACGAAGGCGTGGTCAAGGTCGAAAGAGAAAAACTACACGTTTGCAAGATCGCTACATCGTCAACTGTGCTTTACGTAACCGCACCACAACTGCAAGAGATCTACAAAATACACTAAGGACGGCTACTGGTGTAGAAATTTCCGACCAGACGGTAAGAAATAGGTTGTTGGAAGCCAATTTGAGATCACGCCGACCAGTTCGGGCTGTGCGTCTAACAATTAAAATAAATAAATCACGCTAATTGGCAACTTCGACATTGGAGGCCAGTGCTTTTTACTGACGAATCACGATTCCGTCTAACACGTTGCGATGGTCGTCTCCGTGTTTACAGACGCCCAGGCGAGCGATACAGTGCAGCAGCAGTCCAGGAATATGACAAATTTGCATGTGGCTCTGTGATGGTTTGGGGCGGAGTTAGTTTGGACGAGCGCACAGATCTCGTCGTTGTTCCCGGGCGCTTGTGTGCTCAAACTTACATTGAAAATGTGCTCGAAGATCATGTTTGGCCCGCAGCATATGGTATGGGCCCAGATTTTCTTTTAATGCAAGATAATGCCAGGCCGCATACTGCAGCTATCACGACAGATTACTTACGACAGCAGGAAATCCGTGTAATGGAGTGGCCTTCCATGAGCCCTGACCTAAATCCAATTGAACACATTTGGGACTTGCTTGACAAGCGCATCCGGAAGCGTCCGATTGCACCTCAAACACTGCAGCAGCTCACTGAAGCGTTGATTGAAGAATGGGAGCGAATTCCACAAGAAGATATTCGGAGGATCATACGATGCATGCCGCGTCGTTGTCAAGCCGTGATTAGGGCTCATGGAGGCCACACACGTTACTGAAAGTCACTAAAGACGAATATTCAAACGATATAAGAATATTTCTTTGATGGACCTTTTTTATCACCAATTAGTTTTTCGTCTACAATGCACATTTTAATTTTCTTTTAATAAAAAAAATACAAATTGATTTTTTTTATTAATTGTAGTAATTAACAAATTAACAAGGGGAAAAATAGCGTACAAGTTAATTTAAATCTAATTTTAGTTTAAGCAATAGAAAGGAGAAAAATCTTCTTCCGCTAATTGTTTTGAGCAGTATATTTCATTTTTTGGTAAATATTTTGTAATAAAATAGAATTAAGGGAAATTATACATATTTTAAAGCCTTTAATTTTTTATTAAACATCGGTGCGGCAAGTGAGTTCTACTCAGAAAAGCTGGTAAAGAATACAGTAGAAAGAAAATAGCTCTGATAAACTAGTCTCACTTAATTAATTTAAACAAGTGCCGTAACCATTTAATTGGAGATTAATAGTTGAAAGGGGTATAAAGAAATACAACGATTTATCTTAAAATATTTAATTAACATAATGCATTTTATACAAATTAAGAATTATTATTGTAACGTGTTGCAATTAGACAATGCTAATATTTTTTTGAGGTACACCGCAAACTTTGCATCAAGGTTTATCTTTTAGTTCAAATACGTCATACATTGACACTGTTATGGGGCCGATTACTTATACGAATAAAAAATATAGCAAGCCCGCCAATCACATGCTGATATGACTTAAATTATGGGCAAAAATTCCAATTTGTGGATAATTTTCGCTTAGAATTGTCAGAAGAATCTGTTCACACTTTCGAAACGTGGCTGGACCGATATAAAAATAAATACAACGAAATGTACCCACAATTAAATTTTTTATTAAAAACGGCAAAGTTAAGAGGAAATCCCCGTTTAGGTAAAAAAACGTATGACAAATGGTGGGTAGTTGCAAAAAACTAGCGCGCTTCACCGCTCCTCTAGAATGATGGTTTCTTGTGGATATAGCTCGAGTGCGATCAGTGTGCTGCTCTGAGATTCCGCTGTCAGCTGAATGATAAATTGAACATTAATTAACTTTACTTTATAATACGCTCCGTTTTGAATAGCGATTAAATCGCGAAGCTGCATAAATATGTGTGGCATCTAATTAGGTTCCATAACCTGAGACAGACATGGCGCATAAAACTCTCCGCTACTCTCGAATCACACACACACATTTACGCATACTAAATGTTAACTTCTGTTTGATTAGTGTTAAACTACTTTGACTTTTAAAAAAAGTGCGTGCGTACAAAGTACACATGTCAGAAGTGAAACTTCTTTGGCAAACTAATTTTTAACTATTGTTCATATTTATACAAATCTAAAATTTTAAATTTCCGAGACTTAGACGGAGGGAAAAATAGGATACGTTAGGAATTTAATGAATTTAATTGTCATTACAATATTAAGTGTCGAAAATTAATACAATTAATTAATTAAATTTATTTCTTCCATAATAAAAACACATTAATTTACAATTCGTCATTTGAGATTTCAATAAATTATTTTGCATAAAATAAAAAATTTCATAAATTCTCTTTACGAAATTTATATAAGCTAATTCACCCTTCTCACTCTCTCTCAATCGGTCTCAATCGCTCTCTCCCTTTTCTTCGACAAAAACGCTGCACATCTTCGTGACGTATCCGTAAAAAATTTACCCTCATGCGCCTAAAGAAGTTTCACTTCAAAAATTGTTTTAAACAAGCACAATGTACCACGGAATAATTGTTATCTAGTTACCCACGGCCACAACACACTCCCTAGTGTGGGGGACTAGCGATAGATGAATTTTGTCACAACTTATTTCTGTCATGAACAAAGTTATTATTATAATTTTTTAATATTTCAAGCGTGGTCACCGTTTGAGGGATCGAAATGAAGAATCACGCTTTAGTCTGGTAAAGTATTTTATATTAAAAATGTTACCTGCCAATCAAATCAAGAATTCAACGAATCTAAAAGACCGACGACGCAGTTGCAGACCTGGTGTCCATGGGCGGCGATAAACACTTAACTATAAGTGACCCACCTGCTCGTTTGCCTCCTGTCCCATAAAAACTAAACTCGGCCAGGTGCCAGACAAAAAATATTGAATAAACTTACGTCTCTTCTAGGCCACCTAGAAATAACTTTGTAGTTCTCTTGTGGGTAACCTTTCGACGCTAAGAAGTCTAGCAGCGCCTGAAAATAGAAACATATTTTTATAAAGAGCCAAACAATATTATGTTCAACTACAGTGTATAACGAATTGCAAGGGACCGCACATTTCTTTTCATTATAAGGACGAGAATTTTTTAACCATTTACAATATTTTCTAATTTTATTACTATTAATAGGTAAATTATTCTAAGCACATAATATGTTCTGTTAACTTTGCCTGACGTAATACACGATAGGTGACGGTGGTGCGTTTAGTAACAGAGACCAAAATTTCCTACAGGCAATGTAATCTAAGAATAATGGCACGTGTTAATGCAATTAACAATAACAAAGGCGAGACGGCTGTTTATGACCTCAGATGTATTTCTTAGAAATTTCGGCACTTCAAAAGGTTATTTTTGTAAGCTGATTATAAAAACAATAATTACAACTATGTTGTTGATGTCTAAATATGAAAATATTTCTTCGTAATAGAGATTTATATATATAGAAGAAAAATGGTGTTCGTTTGAGGCTCCTTCACGCCTAAACCACTGATCGTATCGACATGATACTACTGCCATTCGATGCAAAATTTATAAAAAATCCTAGATGGTTGGCTATTTATTTTTTAAATTCCAACGTTCCTTCATTTTTTTATTGCTGTTTTACTTTTATGAAAATTTATACATATGGACTTCACCGCGGAAACATTCGGGGAGGCTTCCTAGAACCTCAAAACGTCAACATCTGTTAAAAACTCGATTTTCGAAAATTTTCAATTTTCTTAGCGGGAAGTTAAAAAGAAGAATAATAAAAATACGATAATAATAATGAAACATAAAATTTTATTGATTTCCTATTTTAATTGGCTACGGCTAGTAATGTTATAAAGGGTTTACACTGTATATAAAAGTCAACAAAGATAAAGAAAAGAATGAAACTCAAGAGTGACTCACGGCCAGCGTGTCCTGCGCCCTAAACCGCCTCTCAAAGCACTTGTGGTGGGGCGGGGGCAGGCGCACCCGTATGCGCATGACGTCATCGGCGTCTGCGCCTGGCTCGGGCGGCACCCGCTCCACTGCGCCGAGCCTTTGCGACTCCTCGTGCGCTTCTTGCATTTGGCGCTCGTACTCCGCGCGCTCTATCTCTTGATTCCGTTCAAGCTCTAGCTGCTTCTTTCTTTCCTCTTTTGCTCTGTTCAATTTTTAAAGTATGAAAGTGTTAGATGTCGTTCAAGTATTACGTTAGCACTATAGCGTCAACAGTCATTATTTACTCTTGTCTTTGATTTACATAACCTTTACACATTTAAAGAAAAAACTGTTTGACCGGATTGAAGTTATGTATTATTATAAATTTACAACTATTTAACATAATTTTAAATTTATCCGACGTTTCGCGTGCTTTACAGCGTGCGTGGTCACGGTGACTGAAGACAAAAGATGTTGGATGTCAAAAAGTATCACAGCTGTAGAGAAAGTTGCCTTATCTGTATTTATTACCCCGGAGTTGGTATCGACTAAAAGATGGAGGGTTTTGGCAAAAATGGCTCACGGTGTCCTCTATTTTCGCGGATTGTTTTTCTTGAGATTTTAATTTGGATGTTATTGGATCCCAGGTGTTGCTGCTGATTTTGTGTGTCGTCTATGTCTTATGTCTGCAATGTGTTCTTTGAGTCTGCTGGACATATTGCGTTTAGTTTGCCCTATGTAAGACAGGCCACAGTCGCAATCCAGTTTGTATATACCTGCATCTTGCAATCTGGTGTTACTTTTGATTGGTCTTAGGAATTGAATTTATAATAATACATAACTTCAATCCGGTCAAACAGTTTTTTCTTTAAATTATTTACTCTTTTACACATATTACCGACACAAACTATTCTTGAAAATTAAATGCATTTTCAAGGGTTCCTACAAAAAAAAACGAAACGTATTATTTTTGAGAGCTTTGCTTACTTTTGCTTAGGAAAGTATTTAGTATGCACATGCCTTTAAAAGCGAAGTAAAATTACTTGTAAAAAATCCATAATCATTAATTTCTATAAGTCACGTCACACAAAACGGTCAGAGTAGTCGAATCGACGATGTTTTCGTCTGTCAAATCTTAGGATTTGAAATTCTAAATAATATTAGTATTATTTAGAATTTCAATTTCGTTAAAGACGGTTCTTGATTAAAACATAATATACATTATATATTAATCAAGAACCGTCTCAAACGAAATGGGGCATTAATCATACCTCTATAGTGGGTATGATCGCATATAGTATACTTAAAATATACTTGAAGCAATTTTATTTTTTTCTAATCAAAAAGGGAAAAGCGTGATATTAAAAAAAACTGACTAAAAAATTTACTCCAAAAAAATGGGCATTTCAATTAGCATTATATCTTAACGGCCCATAACTTGAATCATAAATATCGTAAAAAAATGTTACGTATTCGTTACGTATATACGTATACGTATAAACACGTAAAAAACTAGATGTTTCTTTACGTGAACCATTTAATAAATCACACTATACAACTGGTCCATTTACATAATATTTTCGGCTTCTACCATTGTCTTTCAAAAGTCTCTTAAATTCCTGACCATGTCCTCCTGCTCTCCTCTGACATCTCTATTTAAATAATCATATTTTATTTACAATGGTTTTCTATTCTCTTTGGATAAGATTTAATTAATTTTGTATTATATAATTAACTAGCAGACCGGCCAAGCATTGCTGTGGCTAAGGTTTTAGTTATACCAATTACATAGTAGTAACCTATTCAAGGGAAACGGTAGGAGAACACCAGTCATGGAGACCACCATGCTTTTTGGTGGTGATGCCGTTAAATTGTAGCTTATGTGAAACGTTGGTACTTTCAACATAGCGCCATCTGTTAGAATTGTGACTGTCAAATAATAAACAAATAATTTGCAATAAAATAATATTGCGGGTATAAATTGAGATGAAAGCTATCCTATCTTTTAAGTTAGATCAAACTGCACACGGTGTGCAAATTTGATTGATATCGGTTCAGTAGTTTAGGAGTCCATAGCGGACAAACGACGTGACACGTAATTTATATATATTAAGATTTTAAAGTTTAAGAGATCCATTTGTAATGGTCGCTGATGTAATTGTTTTTTTAAATAAATACCTATCAGCATCAAGACTCATCTGGTACGCTTCGTCCTGCTCCGACATGACACGTTCCCTCGCGAGTCTCTCCTCCTCGAACTTCGCGTCTTCTTCTCTTTGAACCGTGAATCTTTCTACCGCCTCCAGTAAACCCCCCACCAACTCCGACACCCCCACATCACCTACAAACGAAAATAAGAGTGTTTGAACTCTTAAATACATACTTTATTAAGACCCGTTTGTCATTTATGGTAAAAGATATATTTTTTACAATAACCTAACTATGTTTCGTGTTTGAGTTTAAATATGTATTATATGTATTGTGTATGTATAGTTGTTAGGTAATAAGGACCGTCGTAACCGCCCACCGACAGACGACATCGTCAAGGCTTGGGCTGGGTTGGCTCCCAGTGGACACAGAGAGGCCAGTTCAAGGCGTACTGGAGGAAAATAATAATAATCTTTATTTTCTTCTCTCACATATACATACAAGGTTTTTATGATTAAACTAAGATGATAACATTAGGAAGTGTATGTGACACTGGTCTCTGTAACAGGAGACCTGAGTGACAGATAGCCAGCCTCTCCACCACCGGACCGGACGAAAGAAAACATTGCAAACGGAGTCGTAAAAATAAATTTGGTGTGTGTGTGTGTGTGTGTGTGTGTGTGTGTGCGCGCGTATGTGTGTCTCTCTCTCTCTCTGGGTGTGTGTGTGTGGGTGTGTGTGTGCGTGTGTGTGTGTGAGGGAGTGGGTGTGTTACAGAGTAACAGTTATTAAATCTTCTGTGGAGAAAATGAAGGAGGCCTACATCGAAAATGGACCAAATAAAGAAGATGATGATGATGTATAGTTATTATTATAATTTGCTGTAGAAATACAAATAAATAAATAATATATTAAAAGGTTTATTAATGGTTAACAAAGGCACAGACACCCCCAAGGTCATAGGTTTGATTTTGGCAAAAAAAGTTGCATTAATTCATATTGCGTTATTAAAAAATCATACCATTGATAACGGAGTAGATCTCTGTATTGGAGCGCATGCGCATGATAATAATCAGCGCGGGCAACTGATCATTTGGAATCCTTTGAATCGTCGTACTCACCACCTGGTCTAACGCATCTGTCACTGACGTGAGTAATCTGAAAAATATTATTATGAAAAGGTTATTATATAAACCATATATTTGGTAGAATGCAGTGACGTGATTGGTGGGAGGGGTTACAGCATTCCCGTCATTAAAAAAAGGGTGCGTGTACTTATGTACGCGCGTAATTATACTTCTTTGGCATTATTAAAAATAGTTTTTGATTGCAAGCAAATAATTAATTACAATTAAATAATCAAAGACTGGAAAAGGAGTCATTATAGTCAATAAAGTTCAGTTTACATTTGAAGAATTAAATAAATAAATATTTATTATTATTCTCTTACATTAAGTGTAACATAAATTCTATTATTATTCGAATGTTGTTTTTAAATTATGTCCAATGCCGTAGCATCTTCCGTGGGCAACTTCATTCTGTTAATTTTGTGTCACGGTGCGCGCGCATCGTAAAATTTCACTCCCATCAATTTTTCATAACGCGCCTCAAGAAGTATAACGCTTTCAAAAACGCTTTAATAAGCCAATGGCACGAACTTAGAGCAACAAACACAGATTTTTATTTATAAAACAAACTGAGCTAAAAAGGGCAGTCATCGCAGCCTATGGACATCCATTTCAGTGGGTTGTCGGCGGGCAAAGGCCTTCAAAGGCCGGCAACTCATCAGGGCGTTTTCCAATTACAGCACTAGAGCGCATTATGCGCCATAATGCTCAACGTTGAATGTTCCAACTACAGCAACGCTTCGCATAATTCAGCACTCTCAAAAGTAATGCTCTCGCGTGCTTCTCGCAATCAATACCAACACAGTGACAAAAAATTGACTAGTGTTTTTTTCTTTAAGTTGGCATTGATCGAAATTATCATTAGTAAATATCGCCGGCTCCGGAGAATAAAATGATAAATGCAAAATCACAACTTTACAGGAAAATTAAAAAACCGTTTTAATAAGATTACTTCTTTTGGGTCCTAGGTAGGAACTTGGGAGTTAGCTTAAATGATAGCTAATTTTTAGTGTTATCTCTATACTAAGTTGAAATTTTGAAAGATTCCACTGAACTTGAGATATTTAGGAAATAAAAGAATAGACTAAATTTAACAATAACATGTGTTGCTAACATGCACTTATCATTTTTTTCTCATTTAAACTTCATTCATACGAATATTGTAATATAGTCCTGTCATGTTATTCTACGATATACGAACTCTCCAGCAATGTTGGTAATGTAATATTATCATCTTATTCTTGTTATTATTCACATAATGAATTTACGATATGAGTAAATTAGACGTTTTTTCTGGGTATTTAAATTAAACTACTTAATTATAATCAACTGTTATTTATTTTGGGACCAACATTTAAAGCCAACAAAGAGGATGACAAAAATAATACTTTTCAAGAAAACAAAACATAAGCAAACAAACATAACATATAGTCACTCTCAAATAAATCAGTCTATAATTAATCTATCTCCATACTCAAATCTTCATAATTAAGTGGCATCTTCGAGTAAACATTCAAAATCACGAAACCTAATATTCCAAATAAAATATAAGCGAAATCTAAGTAATTTCTATCCAATAGTATATTATAATTTAAAAAAGTCTTCTTATTAGTTACTTAATATTTTAAAAAAATTGTCTTCATCAGCACAGTTATCGGTTGGTGCTTCTGCCTCATCATTAAATTTAAGAGATTCATAGAAACCATGATAGTAGCTTGGTATGTCATTTGATTTACAAAGACTTATGAGATCAGAATGTAGGGCTTTACGTATTGGCAGAGTCTCGGTGTATACAATTTTTAATTCAGGACTGTTATTAATATTAGGTGTATTGAAAGCATGTCTAGCACTCCGTTTGGATCTCTGTTGGCGTTCAATGTTGAGCTTAGAATACTCAGCGTCAAAATCATATTTAAACCGCAAGATGGATGGTTCTGAACTGGTTACATTGATTTCCATTATTTTAGACCACTTTATCTTCTTCCCTTTATCATCTTTACCCCAGTGTTTGTCCTCGAGTAATTCTTTAATGTCGTAGAAGTCACTTTGTAACATTTCTTTAATAATATATTTCTCGCCATTTACCTTGGCATTGGTAATTATTGCGTACATTTGATCTGGACTATACACAACTTGGTTTTTCAGCTCACGTTCTATAGTAGAATGCATCGAATCGCCCTCACTCTGGCCATGACCAGTCTCAAAAAATCTGTGAGTGATATTAATTTGAAGCTTTATGGCAGCAAACATGTACAGAGCGAATATGAATCTGTTTTTATTCTGCCCTGCGCAACCATCAGAATAAAATGACAAGTTTTTAATGCCTCTCTGTTTTTCTGTATTAAGAAATTGCCATAAACAACTACCTATTTCTATTGCTCCTCTTTTTGCAATCTGCGCATGCCAAACGTAGCAATAACCTTTGCGTTGAGTGGCGTCAAATATTGTGAAATTGTAAAGAGGATACTTTCTCTTGTAGTGGAATACTCCAACAGCAGATTGAGGTATATTCAACACTTTTTGCAAATCAAATATAGCTATTGTAGTTTGTAATCGATTGCAAGATTCTTTTTCTTCTTTCTTTATCTGTCGAACTCTTTCTTTATTTCGCTGATGTTGATCGTACTTTTCTTGCAAGGTTTCTTGAGTAGCGTTATCAGCTTGGCGGTAAAGAGCGCATTTAGAGCACTGATCCTTTTTTGGCTTATAGAAAGAATAATTAAATCTGGTATTAAAAATTGTCTGATACTGCCGTTTTGTAGCCATCGGAAAATCAAAACTTTCTTGTATGAACCAGGTCTTGTATAGGCGATACATTTTAGATATGTTAAGTAGTTCTGAAAGATATTTTTTGTTCGTTTCTTTGCGCACATAATGAGCTTCCACTGCTGGGAATAAGTTAATGTGATCGACTATGCTTTCTTCTGTATCATTGCGCATTTTGCGCGGTCTGTTCTGATGTAGTCCTCGTAGATCTTGTAATCCTTCGCTATTGTTATTTTTTTCCAATGCGGTATGAATTATCTGATTTGAAATACACAAAGTGCTTGCAAAAAAGGTCCTACATACTTGAACTTTCTCTTTCTGTAAATCAAAATAGTATTTGACGGTTTGGGTGCGATTATTCTTTTGATCTAACTTGATTCTTTTGACCTTCTCAACTGTCGTGTAACTAACAATACATTGCCATTGCCGCTCATGATCTCCTAATCTATAATACTGCTGCATAATGTCTTCTCTCTGGCTCAATGTAAATTTTTCTTCACATTTTTTTGCGCATTTACATCCTCTTGTAATCTTTTTTTTTCGTATATTTTTTTAGATCTGCATCCCATATAGCTTTCTCCCGAGTTCTTCAATTTCTTACTCTTTACATCTTGATGTTCTTGTTCACTCCGAATCCGTTTTCTTGTCAACAATTTCTGCTTATTAGTAGAAAATGATGATGAAACTTCGACTACACTTGCGGCAGAAGTTTCAGGCCTTGAGTTTACATCGGGACTTTGGCAGATAGCTGTTATGGTATTATCACCATCATCTAAAGTAGTTGTAGTGACTGTCAATATAGAATCTGAATTGTTTTCAGGCTGTAGAGTTGTGTCCAAACCAACGAGGTCTGTGAAATCTTCATTTTCGATGGAAGACTGTATATCATTCTCCAGAATATGTGAAGAAGAAGATCTTTTGTTGAAAATAGGATTCAAACAACGTTTTGTTTTTTTTCTGCTATTAATATCGCGTGGTTTGGCAGAAACCGGTGACGCAGTAGTATTTGTGTTTGTTAAAGATGTAGGTGTGCCCGTCAACTTAGCAGCTTCATATATGATTGAAGGTGATGCGACGAAGTCGATTTGTTTGAATATGGAGGAGACATTAGAAACAGTCGAAGGCGTTCTTGTAATATTCTCAATAGCTGCTGTTAAATAATCAGAGTCTCCGCCAAAACTTGATGGACTCCTGCTAAGTCTGTGTTGATCTGGACTTGGTATATACTCTGACACGTCCGGCGAGAAGTCAACAGCAATTTCAAATTCGTCATCGTCGGAGTAATGTTTGTTCGGCAATCCTGAAATTAATTAACTAAAATGTAAATACTTGCTGATGCCCACTGAGGACTAAATTACTAAGGACTAAATTATTTTCGTTTTACTTAACGATAACGAATACGGTTTGAAACCAAAAATCAACTAGGTAGGCGACAGAACAACCTTAAATTTTTATTGAAAATTCACACTTATTGCATTGTAATAAAGTTCTGCCCGGGAAGGGTTTATGTATCGTGATATCGCCTGCTAGACGTAATCAAAATAAAGAAACGGATACTAAAGAAGCAATACTTCAATTTCGTTACTATAAAGATGCGTGCAAAAATATATATAAATAGCAATCAATAAGTATAATATCTTCCAAAAATACGTTCATATGAACAGCTGTCAGTAGGAGTCAAATATTTTTTAGACTGCTTAGGTATGTATTAACCATACGTGCAAAGAAAACTTGTATAATTACTCCAATATTATGTTAGCTTAGTAGGGAAGCAGCTGGCCACAAAACAATAAGTAGGTACTTACCTTGGGGACATTTTTCCGGTTCTGGATGAATTATTTCTCCTATATTATCCATAATGGCATTTAACCGGGCCGCCCTCAGTCTCTTCATCTTAAAAACACTGCTAGTCTATTTAATATCACTATAGAATTAACACATTCCATTAATTTCCGATCATTCCAACACAAAAACAAAAACTCGCTTCGCTTAGTGACGTATAAGATCATTCTGATTTAAAAAGTAAACAAACAATAACCCTTGTCGGCGAACGCGCCGGTGTGTGCTATCCCTTTCTTACATTAGCTCAATCAACACGGCGGAAAGAAACAATAACATACTTTGTTGTTTAGTACGATTCCATGTGTTTGGCTAAAATCGCATTAGCAAACGAGCTCAGCTAATTTTGAACTAGAATAAAATGATAAGTGCGTTTGTCATAGACGCGGTAGGTATTATTTACTAGAATATTAAGATAAAAGCTGACATTGTGCGTAGTCATCAAAAATATTTTGGCAAAGCAATGTTATCGTATATTGTTAGATCCAAAAAAATCGTTGAATAAAATAATATCTTTTTCTAACTTTTTAAATAAACAAAAGAAAAATCTGAAAAAAAATGGGCAGATGTATTAGCACCTCAGGATCCTGAATTTGCAATAATACTAAAACTATGATAATAGCGGTTATCATTTTGTTCTCCGGAGCCGTCGATATTATTTATTGTTGAAATATTTGTAAGGCTTTCGTTGCGTCGTAGATTTTGGAAATAATCAAAGTTATTTCAAACTGCTAAAAAAATAAATATAAGTATGGATGAAGGTATAAATAATTACTTTTTTTTATATTCCACATTTAAAATATGAATACAATTTCATTTTAAAATTCGATAGGATATATACTTTTGTAAACATTGCAATGGTTTTAAAAAAGTATATAATTTTTTTAAATCATTTAAAAAAAATACTCAAAACGTAAATGATGTAAACTTCTTACGTGAAACTAATTATTTTACTGTTAAGTTAGCTTATTAAAACCTCATATTCTTTAAAGGTTTTCTCTTATTTCAGTAAAAAAGTTAATGAAATAATCAAAATGCAAATTACTTTAAATTAGCGTAAATAGTTTTCCACCAATTATTATTGTTTACCACATTATTTATACATTAATGAGGTTGCTAACTCTATTCAGAACATTTTTTTTTTCAACACTGACTTAGCGCACTCTGCTGATGCATTTGAAAACTCAATGCGGCATTGTGCGCCACTGAGTCGCATTATGCTCTGTAATTGGAAAACTAGGTCACCCACTAAAAATGGGTGTTATGTACGTTCCTATTCCCATTCTATAAAAAAAGACAAGAGCACGTTTCTGCTGAAAAAATATCAAAAAGGTTCAAAATAGGTACTCACAAATCCATGTTATCCGGGTGAGTGACATCCCAGCCGTACACTATGAAGTTTGCCGCAAGTGTCTGCAACGCTGTTTCACAGCCGAGAAGTTGGGCACAAAATACATTCGATAGGACCGAATGCTCGTGATGGAGATACACTGCGAGGAGCTTCCTCTGGAAATAAAATCTAGCTAATTCATGGGTCTTGCTTTATTTATTTGCCTTTAAACAGGTTTTAAAAGGCCGGCAAGACACTTGCGAGCCCTCTGGCAATGTGAGTGTCCAAAAAGAAGAGACTGGCTGCCCACAATCCAGGGAAGCACTGTACTTTACCTAAATATCCTGTATATTGTGTATAATAAAGATTTTCCTTTCTTTCATTCGTAGCAAAAAAATTTAACCAGGCCATCCCAACTTTGCGACTTGCGCAATCTTGAAAAACCAGATGTGCCGGTAAGCCTGCTGCCTCGAATTTTGCGGGCAGCGGGGCGGCGGCGGCTGCGGCGCGGGAGCGGGCGATTGCACCTCACGTTACCCGCCCGCGCGCCGCTGCCACGCCGCTGTTTTCGAGAACCGGTCCATTTGATTTTACGCAAAAGATCCTGCCGCTCCCGCGCCGCCGCCGCTGCCGCCCCGCTGCCCGTAAAATTCGAGGCAGCAGCCTTATTCTTGCTTGAATTAAAAAGTATGTAATTACTTCTTTGGCTGGGGTGAGACATGATTCCTCGAAAGCATCCTCCAGTGTGCCTTCGAAGAAGTTAGGCGAATTCGGTCCGTACCGTGCTCGGAACCGTTGCGCGAACTCTATACAGCCTTGGAGTTCATCTTGGACACGCTCAGACACTAGAAAGATGAATTATAAAAACTTTCTGCCCATAATGTTTATAACTATCGAAAAAAGCAGTGGCAGAGTTTATTGCCAGTTCTTCTCTCCCGTTTTAGCCCTTGATTTGAGAACTGGCAGTAAATGTAAAATTAGAAGCATTTAATATTTATTTCTTTATTGACTAGCTGTTTACAATATGGCGCTCCTATATCTTTTATTTAATTTAATTGTTTAATTCAGAAAACAAGGTTCCATAACAATGTTAGTAAATTACAGCTTAATACCTTAAATCTAAGTGTTAGTATGTTTACATTAATTCATACCGGAATCATTCCGCATGAAATAGAGGAACAGTGATTCAGGTATGGGCAATCGACTCGGTCCGCGATAATGCGGAGGATACCGTTACCGCTAGCTCTCACCCTGCGCACCAAGGATGCACATCTCTTGCGTATGGTGGCGTAAAAACAATCCACCCGCGCCTCAGCAAACATCCCCGATGCGCTGCAGAATCGAGGCAGCCGCAACAGCACCCTGAACGCATTATTATATTGGATACGGAAAGCGTTGTATGACAATCGAGTATATTTCGACCATAAGGCGCTCGCATAGAATGATGTGCAGAATGCTCTAAACAAGGTTACTTTCACATCAATTGAGCATCGTGCAAACCTGCGGGCGATCATGTTCGCCCTGACACACAACGCTCTCCGTTCCCTATCTATATCAGCATCGTCCCTGAGGTCGGGTGTCAAAATGTGTCCAAGATATTTAAATGTTTTTACAATTTTTAAAGGGACCCCATATAGCGACATGGGGGTATACTGGACACACCCTTCCAACCGGCCCCAAAGACCATGACTTCACTTTTATTTACATTATATTTCAAACCATGACTAGCCGCATATACCTCACAGAGCTTAAGGAGACGTCTAACCCCGCAGACCGACGCACTCAGCAGCACCATATCGTCTGCGTAGCTGATATTGTTAACGCACACACCGTCCACGTGACAGCCGACACGCTCGCTGCTAAGCGTCTCAATCAAAGCGTTTATATATAAATTAAAGAGAGATGGAGAGCTCAGTCCACCTTGTCTTACTCCACACTGCATCGTATAGGGCTTAGACAAGGCACCCATCCATTTAACATTATTGATTTGGTTACCATACCAAAACTTAAATACGTTCAGAAGTTCTTGAGGAACACTTATATCCTCTAGCTTCATCCAAAGTAGATCGTAGCAAACCAAATCAAATGCCTTGGAAAGATCAAGGAAACAGGCATATACCGCCGTCCTCCGACGCAGATAGTATGAAACGGTGTGCTTAAGACTCAGTATAGCACCATCTGTAGACAGCTTGGGTCGAAACCCAAACTGGTTATCGTGCAAATGTAGATATTTATTTAACTGAGTATTAAGCAAACCGTCCAACACCCTAGCCATAATAGTCGCCAGCGATATAGGCCTGTAGTTTGAACCATCCGCCAAATCTCCTGTCTTGTTTTTTACAACCGGTATAACTAATGTTCGCATAAGATCATAGGGTAGATATGCATGACTTATACACAACGAGTATAGCATAGCCAATAACCTATATATATGAGAACCAGCGTACCGTATATGCTCGATGCTTAACCCATCATGACCAGGGGACTTTCCTCTTGACATAGAACTTATAACGCTTCTTACATGTTTGGCGCTAAATTGAGTATTAACCCTATCACCAATGGGTACAGCACTGAGTTGGTTTCGCGACGGTCTCAGCGAGGATGATATATAGAAGTTGTCTCGGAAAAAAATCAGCAATTTCTTTCGAGTCACTTAACCCTCCGACGCTGACTGGGAGTCCCGGCCTCGGCGTCAGCCTCTTTGTTTCTTTCCAAAACGAAACGAAATCTTTTTATCATGACAAGTGGCTAGTTTTTCCATTTTTATTAAATCTTGATGGTTTTGACACCATTTTAGTCGTGATTTAAATATTTTTCTGCTTTCACACATGTCATTATAAACCCTCCCTGATTCTGGTTTCCCATGAAGTAACCAAATCCTAAACCTCAGCCTCGCTTCCGAGTGCGCCGGCTTCACATGTTTGTTCCAACCTATAATATTTTGATTTCTATCATTAATTTTATTTTTATTAGGGTATTTCCGACTAGTCACGGCTGCCTCACTAAGAGAAATAACAATATTGTTATATAATATATCAATTGCACCTTGATGATTAGGTCTATCACAATAACAACCTGCGCAATCCGTAAATATCTCTGGAAAATCTATTGATTTTAACCTCTTGTTACATTCACTTTGATATAACAATATTTCTTCCTCGGATCTTTGACCCCAACGTACGTTATTGTTTACAGAGTTACTTTGTATAGAGGACAACTTTTTACTAATAATCTTAATATTAAAATGAAGTATAAGCGGGTAATGATCTGACCACAACACATCATACATAATATACACTTTTGATATTGAATGGCGAGCCGCGTCTGTCACTAAACAATGATCGAGCCACCTCCGTGATCCGTGAGCCTCACTAACAAAAGTATAAGTGTCAGAGTGCGGTCCGAGCAACTCAACATCTATACATGACCACCTTTGATCATAACAATAATTTAAAAGTTCATAGTAAAATATCGAGTACGGATGCGCATTAAAATCCCCCCAGTATGTAAACAGATTCTATGCCATACTCATCAACAATAGCACTCACCACACTTAGACAGTCCGTAAACACTGGCAAGTTGTCCTGCGAGTCCGTAGGCATGTACACACACACTACGATTATGGGTCGATCACTCGTTATTATTTTTATTGCACAAACTCGAGAATTATTACACGGTAACACTATCACATTATTGAACACACTCCTCCTCCACAGCAGGGCCACCCCTCCATAGGGCCTCCCCCGCAGCATTCCCTCTGATGTGTCCATCGCTGATGTTCCCGTGTACCCGAAGTCCGCCTCAATACTGCCAAGATATGAGATTTCACTCGGTAGCAACCATGTTTCCTGAAGAGCTATGATGTCTGAGTGACGACATAAATCCCTGATACACTCTAAGGATCGTTTAATATTTTTACAATTAAATGTTGTCATTGCGTATACGCCGTTATCCATTGTTTACATTTACAAGGCCGGAATTCATATTTGTTTCATTTATAATATGGCGATTTTTATAATGTACAAAGCGCCTAAAAATAATTCCTTTAGGCCAGAGTTTATCATCTAAAAATAATGACAAATTGTCCTCAGGTATCATGAACTTGTACGCTAAATGGTTGTTATGTCTTTTAATTGATATTTTTTTTAGCGATATATTCACTTGAGTTTTCTTGAGAACATAATCTATGATATCCGATTCAACCGTATCTTTATGTACATTGCTTATAAAAATAGGTATAAACCTTTCCGCCGCCTTGAAATTAACACCGTCACTGGCTTGACCCGTCATTCCTGCAAAACGTTGTTTACATTTTGTTTTACGTCTCGTAACGGTTTGCCACGCACCATCCGTGGGCTCGATATTATCAACTGGAAAAACCGTCTCGATCAGTTGTCCAGAGCTCATTTGTTGAGTTACGCTTGTCTCCGCTGAAGCCTCCGCATTCACCGTCGCCCCTGTCGTCATGGTATGAGTCATAATACCGGTCTCGGCCGACATAATCGACGAATGCATGTTTTCGCGAACCACACTACCCTCACTGATGCTTCGATAAAGTGGGTCTTTATTGTTTGACTCACAATTGGAGTTAATTGAATTGTGCGAGTCATTTAATGACGAGTTAATGCTCTGCGATGGATCTCTAGGGCCACCATTTCTAGCCCATGCACCACGTCGATTGTTTATATTGTGACACGGCGTGGTAGCTATCGACGTGTGTTTCAATCTATTAACGTCTTGCTTTAAATCTTCTAAGTGGTTTAGAGTAGCATAGTTATTTTTAATAGTCTCGATCTCCGCTGACATTCTTGTTAAATCCTTCAATAATTTCGTGCAGTCAAGATGATCAAATGTAATAGGAGGTAGTTTTTCCAGTTGTCTTGCAGCAAATACTGGTAAGATCTCAGGTTCTGTAGATTTAAACAAGGAAATGATGTCATCCATATCTCGAGATTCTTTTCCCTTTTTTTTTCGCTGTATTTGTCGGCGATCTGCCGGAAGTGCACTAAACAATAATGATTTCGAGTTACTAATTTCTTCACTCGTAAATGCCGACACACAAATTTTAACTAACGACACTTCATCCATTATCGATATTTTATTTTGGATATACGATAATAGCTCATCTAAAACAATGTTGCAAACATTACATTTCACAACGTCCGTCATATTTGTAAGAACGAAATTAATACGTCGCTGCGATAGCTCCGTAACGAAATCACACAACACACCTCAATGCGCACACGCGTGAGACTATAACACGGTTGATTGGTTCCGCGTTATAGAATTATCTTCTCGATAAAGGTAATAAAAATCGAATATTAAAAAAAATGTTATGAACGATTACAGAAATATAACCTGTGCAATAACCGTGCTATACGTAATATGAAAATGCGCTATAAGAGTACCGTGTTATAAAAGGGTTTACTGTTCTTTATATGATATGCCACAATAACATGTTTTATGGATATATAAAAACTTAAATTGCTGTCTTTCGTCAGAAAATTTCCATTTCCTTGAAGTGTGATGTTTCTAACATTAAATCGATATTTGTAGTGCAAAAGCGGGCTATAAGAGCGATCTGTGGGTTGTCCCCACGGGAGTCGGTTCGAAGGAAGTTTAAGGAATTACATATTTTGACTCTGGCAAGTCAATACATTTATGAGAATATTTTGTATGTGCGGGAAAATATAGATATCTTTAAAAATAATAGTAGCTTCCATAATTATAGTACCCGTAATAAAGACAAAATTAGCGCACCAACCAGAAGGCTGCATAAAACGAGTGATTCTTTCCAAGGTATACATACGTTTTTTCAACAAAATCCCTAGTGATATACAATTGTTGTCAATAAATAAATTTAAATCGTACATTAAAGTAAAACTGCTTGCTAAGGCCTATTATAATATAAATGAATATTTAAACGATCCTAGTGCTTGGATATGAGTTGCTCCAGTATTAATAGGTAACGCGACTGAAACTCTCGGCTGCATTTCCAGACTCTGGGGCGATCGTCAACATCCACGACTGTTTTAATGTAAAGTGGGTACAAACCGTGATCCATGTGGTATCAAATTATTTCAGATTAAGTAGTATTATTATTATTTTTTTATGTAGCCAAGTTCACATGTCAAGGATCGTCATGCTCGCTTAAATGTCATTGCACTATAAGATTTGACGTTGAAAAAAGGAATTCGGCCGCTGTTTGAAATTTTTTTTTTAGAAAAGAAGATTTTATTATTATTAGGAGTAGAAGATTTGAAAGTTTAACCAATCTGATCTTATTAATTTTGAAAATATATTTATATTTTTTATAACGAATTAACTTGTACAATACCTGTCTATGGAATAAAAGGGATAGCGGGAAAATGGTGGCGAGAATGAGAGACAAGTGGAAGAATTTGGAGAGATTCACTCTGTTGAAGGTCGTGTACAGTGCGAGACTTGGTTTATTGTAATAGATAAAAACATTATTTCAATCTAAAGCTTATCAGCTAGTAACCCGAATTCTTTTGATAGCTTGTTGAGTGGGATATATCTCAGGAACTACAGCTAATAAAACACAAATCTTACTAAAAGGCTGCTTCGGCAGGGAATGAATCGGCATCCCCGACCTCTTCAACGGAACTGTTTTAATTATTGATTATTACTACTATGTAAGTTAAGAAAATTTTAAATATTGTATATGTGTGTTGGTAATTAAAAGAAAACTGTTTTTTGGATGTCTTAAAAAATGCAATGTAGCAATTTCTAACTAAATGCACCAATATTGATGTTTTTTTTTAAATATCGGGTTCAATAGGTTAGTTAGGTGTAATGATAGAGAGAATATTACAGGGTACACAAAATTAATTATAAAATACGTGACATAATTTAACTTTCTGGGGTATTACCCACCCAATCATTCGATTTCAGCTTTCCGTTGATTTATGGGATACTTGAACTCAAACTCAAAATATCTTTATTCATGTAGGTATATAAACAAGTACACTTATGAATTGTCAGAAAGAAGTAAAATTAATTGTAAATTTACATTTACTACCAGTTCGCAAGTCAAGGGCGTAGATTGGATGCGCAGAACTGGCAAGAAACTTTTCGCCACTCTTTTTAATCGCCAAGTATTGTCATACAAATTGTTTGAACTGGAGCAAATCAATCCCAAGGATTAGGATCATTTAAGTATTCCTCAAATTTATAAAAAGCTTTATTGATTAATTTTCGTTTAACGAGGGCTTTGAATTTATTTAGTGATTATTCTCTAATTTCCTTGGGAGTTTGTTGTAAAAACGAATACAATTTCCATATAAGGAGTGGTTTATCTTTTGGACCCTGGTTGGTCGTACACTCAAATTAGTTCTATTTCGCGTATTATACTGGTGAAAGTCACCATTTGTTTTAAAATCGTTTTTTGTACGTACAACAAGGCTTCAAGAATGTATTGACCAGATGGTGTCATAATATTTAATTCCTTAAACTTATTGCGTACCGACTCCCTCGGAGAAACACAACAAATACCCCGAACAGCCCACTTCTGCAGCACAAATATGGATTGAACCTCTGCAGCAGCACCCCACAGTAGAATACCGTACGACATAACGCTGTGAAAGTAGCTATGATACACAACTACCATTATCTATATCAACATACCAAGTATGTGTCATATAAATTGACTCATAAATTTTGTCATGAAATAATCTAGCCACGGAATCTAGTTACCTATAATAACCATGTAATAGTGACTTTTACTGTCTAAAGTCTAGATAATAAATGTTAAGTACAAACCTGATGCCTAACAGGCATGTCTGTCAGCGAGAAGAGATCATTTTAACCTCTTGCACAGTTTTGGTTCCTGGGTATTTGAGCGTGTAATCTCTATCTCCATGTTTCTCATGTAGAACATATGTTGTTGTCTTTCTGCTACCCTAGTACACATTTAAAATAAATATTATACCGGTTTTAAACCATTTTGTATAACAATTGCATTCGCTTTTAAAATATATATAGGTTTATTATTAAACCATATTTATTTAAAGGCAAGTATTTATTTTAGAATAGAATTTTGTGTATTGTAATCAATTTGTTTAAATTTTAGCCTGTTAATGGTTAAGAAGCCAACTGTCAATCTTGATCATTACTTTGAGTATTGGTTATATAGCAGTAAGTTTTTCCTTTCATGTTCACAGTAAATATGCTTGTAACATCTTTGAATTGTATGAATACTCACATCATCAGCCATCAATCTATCTGCAGCTTTTAACCGAAGCACGGCATTTCTAGCCTGATATCTGTTGCTGACACACTGGTATACCAAATACCATTTCTAAACGATTTTTTAAATCACCTGATGGATTACAAATAGCAAATTTATAGCACTGAATAACAGATTAAAGATTAGCTCTAGATATTTCTTATATTCTACTCTATTATATCCTCGGGCTAATACAAACTATTTACGTAACTCAGTCATGTATCGTATACCTTCAGATTATAAATTACCAGCAAATAGATATATTTAATGTAACTAAAAAATGTTTAAAAAAAACTTAAATAATTTAAAAATTCTTCCTTTGTATTAAATATATATTAATCAACAATAAATCTTAGAACTTAGAATTTATTATAAATACATATATTCTTTGTATATTTTTTGTATTTGTATAGGTGAAACTATGCTTTGTGTATGTTTAAATGTGTATTCCGTTTTTGGCCTTTGTGTACAGTGTAATGTTTTGAATATTGTTTAATAAGTAGCTGTAGGAATACCGTTGTAAATAAATAAATATTTACACAAAATATACATATATTATATAGCTTGGAAGAGTCTGTTAGGAAATATCTAACCACATTTTTCACACAAATATTATAGATAATTTTTTTTTAAGTATTTAAAAATAAGGACCAATACTTACCTATCATTAAAACATCAATTTAAATAATATAATTAATTCACATTTCTATTGATATGGTCATTAATAAAGTTCAGGGGTTGGGTGCGATAATAGTGCGTTGGAATCTGATGATACTGATTATGCAGGAGTCCTCGGGGACCTTGATTGGAACACCTCCAAGTAATTTTAGCTGCCGGAAATGCGTCAAAGTATTTTTAAAAAAATTTAAAGTTTTGTGAAATGTATTGAAATTCGTAAACAATCCACCATTATCTACTTTTCTATTGGTTATAAGAGATGTGTCATTCTCGTTTTCTGTTGGTTATAAGTGATGTGACATTCTCGGTAAATTAATCGGATCGATTATTTTCTCATTTGTTAATTTTATAGTTGAACCTAATTTAATCATTACTTGTCAAATGAACATACATTACATTAACTTCATGTTTCAATTAGTGTATGGTTCCGAAAATTTTTAAATTATTCAAAAAGTACCCAAAACCGAATCAGAGCACCCCACGTGGTCTTGTCTGCCTTAGCCCTAGAGTGTATATAAATAATCGGAGGCGCGGAGGAAGAGCATCCCCCACCCGCTGTAACAAAGCACAGGCATTATGAAAGCTGTAGCGGCTGAGGCTGGTCGCCGAAGGCGACCAAAAAGCCGAGGTTGCGGAGGCTTGAATAAACTGCCTGTGCTTTGGTACGCAAGGGTGGAGGGGCTGCATTTCCCGTAGCGCCGGAGCTATCCAAAAAAACTAATATTATTTAGATCGGTTAGGTTAGGTTAGTATATGAATATTTGGTCGCCGAAGGCGACCAAGATGCCGAGTTGGAGTAGATAAATAGGTGAGATTTTATAAAAAAAATTTTTGTTTCCGGCGCGCAAAATTTGAAGGGGGTGATTACTACACCCCTCCCCCCCTTCCTCACCACCCCAGCAACCCCAAATTTGGGCGCATCGTTATCGAATCGTTACCGCCAGGCGAGCTGCCTGGCGGGCTGCGCAGCATGCAGCCCGTCCCGGGCTGGCGGACATTTAAGCTGTTACACACGCACGCCGTCGTGACTGCCCATTCTGGCCGAGCTACGCTCGCCAACCAGCCCGTGCTGAGCTGTAAAGGCCCTAAAGGCCAACAGCGAGATTCCATTAAAAAAAAAAAAGCCGTCGTGACAGTCAGTGCCAGAATGGCGAGCAGCGAGGATCTCGGTGTTGTTGCTGCCATATCCTTTGGCTTAACTTATTTTTATTGGAAAAAGAAACAAAATTATTATATTCCGCAATGTTGTAATCTCCGATCGTAGCGACTTTCTTAGCAACGTTGAATGAAGATCCACTCGTCGCGAAAGCGCGGGAGAGACTGACTGCCTGCGCGCGTGTAAACAGTCACCGGGCGCCCGGCGCCCGCACATTCATCCTTTGAACTTTGCCAAAAAAACGACACTTGCCCGATTCGCGGCATTCACGTTCACAGGCGCGTTCACGGGCTCGGGCGTACCGTTTACACGCTCGTGAATGTAAATGTGCAAGTTGAATGTAGAGTTGAACGCGCGCGTGTGAACTAAGCATAAGAGTGGATTACCTGGCAAAAAACTTCATACCTACCTTTAAACATTATCAAAGCTTGACAAATGCAAATAAATTGCTCTTTATAAAGCAGTACTAAAATAATAATAATTACCAGGTGGGTGGTTTTTTGGAGTTATCACAGATATGTCATCATCAATCATCTCTTCATCTCGTGCATTATTCGTCTGAGTTGTGGAATTACCATCATGAGGCAACACTTTGTTTATTGCAGACTAAAAAAACATTTCACAATGTATATAGTTTAAAATTTATTTTTTACAATAGACAAAGGACATCTAACATTTAAACACATACCAGTTAAAAAGCGCGGGAAACTTCGTTCATGGTAGACGTTTTTTTTCACGGTGGTGAATATTTAATTTAATTTTACTAGTTAAAACGCAGAGGATAAGCTGGTAGTTTTAATTTTTGTATTATATGTAATCTTTATATCATATTTGTGTATAGTGTCATCGTGTAGTCGGTAAGTTTTTGTAATTTCTGTAAATATTGTATGAACAAGCCCCCCGATCAAGGTCGGGGGATGATGGCCTTGTTGGCTTGAATCTCCCTGTGGGATCAAATGTATCTGTTGGTTCACAAGATGAATTTGACAAAATGGATACCGATTGTTCGGTATCATCTCAAACAGGTGAAGGAACTCGTAAACGAACACGTTATTTGCGCCTTTGTCGGCAATGTACGAAAATTAAGAAAAAGAAAGGTAGTGGTTCTAGCGGTGATTACTGTCAGTGCGAAAGCCTATGCAATGTAGAAGATGAGTCAATTTTAATTAAAAAGGTTACTTCAAAACCTATATCTCAATCCACGTCATCTCCACACTTGCAAAATAATAATAATTCACATAGCACATCCTCTCGACCATCAACATCTTACACGGAAAATTCAAATATCTCTCAAGACTCTAACGCGGGAAATTCAAACAACACCACAGCTTCAGTAACCAATACGGACCCCCGTTCGATTGGCCGTACTGAATATGTTTCTACCGATGTTTCCCCTTATTTAATACATGTTCAACGTATTCAAAGTTCACCTGACGACGGGACCATTCTCCATCCAATAACATTTGGCAATTTTTTAAAGCAGAACAAATTTAATAATATTATTCCCGGAAGTGTAAAGCGTATAGGAAGAAACAGATGCGTAGTTGGCTTTTCCGATTATAAAGACGCCAATAATTTTCTTAACTGCAGTCTTTTGGAAACGAAAAAGTTAAAAGCCTTCATTCCCACTTTCAGCGTAACAAGAATGGGTCTAGTTCGCGGGGTCCCTGTAGATTGGAGTGTAGAGGAAGTTCAACAAAATGTATCAGTACCTATAGGCTGTGGCAAAATACTTAAAATAAGACGTTTAAATCGCAAGGTAAAAATTAATGACTCGGTTTCTTGGAAACCCTCTGAATCAGTTGTAATAACATTTGATGGGCAAGTTTTACCAAAAAGGATTTTCATGTGCTGTAATGCTCTTCCAGTAGAAATATATATTTATCCTACCATACAATGCTATAAATGCTGCCGTTATGGTCATACCAAAGTTCAATGTCGTTCTAAGACTCCAATATGTTATAACTGTGGAGGTCAACATGCAGGTGTATCATGTGACAGGTCAGATAAAGATCCTCTGTACTGTGTAATGTGTGAAGTCGAAGGGTCCCATTCAGCGATAGATAAGTCATGTCCAGAATTTGTGAGACAGACAGAAATCAAAGTTAAAATGGCTCAGAGCTGCATGTCTTATGCCGAAGCCAGTAAATATTTTTCTTCTGTTAAGCCTTCATACGCAGATGCATTAAGTTCAACAATTCCGGAAGTACCAAAACCCGTATATTCTTCCGCAGCGAAGTCTGTATCTCGTAATAATTCTACTAATGCCTCAAATAAAAAGACAGTATTCTTAAAACCTCGCTCTCCTCGTAAACCACAACATGGTTATGATCGTGTTGCGCATAATAATGTTTTAAAAGACTTCCAAGTTCCAGAGCCTAAAAATGGCAGTGCTCTGGTTGGACACAAAAATAAAGAAGAAGAAAAATCTGATGTATTAGAAATGATACTAGCATTATTAACTAGTTTAATAAACTCAAACTTATTGAAACCGTCCCACGTTGCCTCTATTAATGAAAAAATTAAATCAGTTAATGTTATTAAAAACAATGGATTCCAAGATAATTCAATGGAATTGCAGGAGTGTTGTTCCAAAGAAACATGATTTGATATATTTGATAAATAAACATTCTCCCGTTGTTGTTGCGTTATCTGAAACGTGGTTGAAGCCAGGGTACCTATTAAGGATCCCAGGATATACCTGCTTGCGTGATGATAGATTTGATGGCCATGGTGGCGTAGCGTTAATTGTCAGGAACTCAATTAATTTTTCTGAAATAGCGTTTTCTTCATTAATCTCTAATGATGCCATTAATATTGTCGGCATAAAAATTGATAATATTTCTATAGTTTCCATTTACTTAGCTCGTTCCTCTTTTGTTATTCTCAATAGCGTTAATAATTTACTTTCTTCACTCAGTCGTCCATTCCTTCTATTGGGTGACTTTAACTCTCATCACCAAATGTTTGGTTGTAGCACTACTGACTCCAATGGTGTACGTTTAGTTGAAATATTAGATTTACATAATTTGTGTTTACTTAATACTGGCTCACCAACCAGACGTACAAAGCCTAATGAAAAGCTTAGCGCGGTTGACTTATCAATTTGTACTTCAGATCTTGCTTCTTCTCGTTCTTGGTACACTTCATCATCTACTTTTGGCAGTGATCATTTCCCGATTATCATATCCTCACCAATTAGACGCTCTCCTTATCAAAAACGACAACCTCGTGTGAAATATAAATTAAATAATGCTGATTGGCTTGCATTTAAAAGCCTTGTCGAATCTAAAATAAATGATTTGCCTGAATTAGTTAGCGGTGGTGAGACCAATTCCTCTAAAGCTTTGGCTACATGCTTAATAGAATCTGCCGATCAGATTTTTTCTGTCAAACGAAATCCGTCTAATAAGATTCCTTTTCCTCCATGGTGGGATAGAGAATGTATGGTTGCTGTAAGCAGAAGAAAGGAAGCTGAGAGAGTCTATGCTGAGGACATGTCCAATGAAAATTTAGATATTCTCAATGAAGTTATTAGTACCACACGTAAATTCCTCAGAGATAAAAAGCAGGCAGGCTGGAAAAAATTTTGTACTTCTTTATCTCCTTCTACGTGCCCTTCAGAAGTTTGGACAAGTATTAAACGTTTTCGATCTGCTTTCAAAGAATCTTTATCATCGTCTTCACTTCCCCTTTTTAACCAATGCCTTTTTAGACAGATTAGCTCCTCCATCAGCTGCTGAATCGATCTACTTTCCTTTGGAATCGTCTTTGACAGATGACTCTTCCTCTTTAAACTCTCCTTTTTCATTACATGAATTGAAAGGTGTGCTTTCACATGTTAAGGATTCATCTCCTGGTCAGGATGGTATTATGTACTCATTTTTATCTCATCTTGGTGATACTGCCTTAATGTATTTTTTAAATTTAATAAACTCCGTCATGGTCACAGGTAATATTCCTGAAACATGGAAGTCTCAAGAAGTTATAGCGATTAAAAAACCTAACAAACCTACCAATGATGTTGCCTCATATAGGCCTATTGCGTTGTCCTCCGTTTTAACTAAAATTGCTGAACATCTTGTGAAGAATCGTTTGGAATGGTTTATAGAAAACAATAATTTAATAGCCAATAGTCAATACGGTTTTCGGAAGTCAAAATCTACAATAGACAATTTAGCTATATTAACCACAGATATTCGCATAGCTTTTTCGCGTGATGAAGATATTGTAGCTGCCTTTTTGGACATCTCTGCCGCCTATGATAATGTGAACATTTCTATTCTACAACACAAATTATTAGAGCTACAGGTTCCTACGTTATTAATACATTTTATCATCAATTTACTATCCTGCAGATACATATCATTAATCGTTCAGAAAGATGGTAATATTACCGAGTTAAAGCGTACAGTTTTTAAAGGCCTTCCCCAAGGTTCGGTACTAAGCCCACTTTTATATAATATTTACACGTATGATTTAGAATTATCTATAAATTCCCATATAAATGTGCTACAATATGCAGATGATCTTCTTTTTATTCCGTTGATAAATCTGTGGTTAAGGCTTGCAATTCCATGTCTAGTTCACTTAATTGTCTTAATATCTGGTTAGTTAAAAATGACCTAGATCTATCAGTTTCCAAAAGTTCTATAGTCGTATTTTCCAAAAAACGCACAACTCCTATAATAAATGTGACCTTCAATGGTCAATCTTTGCCACTCCAAACAAAAATTAAATTTTTAGGAGTTATATTGGATTCAAAATTGTCTGGACTTGCCCATTATGAACATGTTGTTATGAAATGTGCACAGCTGCTTAACATCATGAAATGCCTTTCAGGTGTATGGTGGGGTGCTCATCCGTTTTCTATGAAACTTGTGTATAACGCTCTTATAAGATCTGTTTTAGATTATGGCACATTTCTCTTAGATGGAGGAAGTGTCTTGGGAAGTCAAAAACTTGATGTCATTCAGTCAAAAGCTTTGAGAATTGTGACAGGAGTAATGAAATCAAGCCCATCCAATGCTTTACAAGTAGAATGCTGCGATCCTCCTTTAAAATTAAGAAGGCAATTTTTAAGTGATCGATTCTTGTTCAAATCTATGCAGTTTTCTAACCACCCTCTACATAGAAAACTGCATGAATTGAACAATATTATTCATACATCCCGTTACTGGCGTCACAAATCATTACCATGTCTAATAATAAGCTTTCGTAAATTTTTAACATTACACAGCCGCATTCATCGATCTCCATCATTACCCATATTTATGACACAATTCAATTCTTTAATTCTTGATCCGGATATAAGATATAATATAGGCGTCTGTAAGCAAGATATTCTGGAAACAAATATTCGTTTCATGAGTAGCGTTGAGGAACAAAATTGGGAAGGTTGGGATTATATTTTTACAGATGCCTCTAAAATCTCTGTGGATGATTGTGTTGGAGTTGGTCTAATTCATTGGCAACATAAAATAATTCAAAAGATTAAACTTCCTCCTGAATCCTCAGTTTTTACTGGAGAGTGTTTTGCTCTTTTAAAAGCTTTAGAACTAGTTATTTTATTAAAATCTAAAAGAACAATCATATTTTCAGACTCAAAAAGTGCACTACAATCTCTTGAAAAATCTCCTTTCCAAATGAAATTTTGTTATCCTATTATTTGCGAAATACGTGATAAGCTTTTAATATGTTCTCAAAGAAATTACACCGTTATCTTTGCATGGATTCCAAGTCACAGTGGGATTAAAGGAAACGAGAAAGCCGATGAGCTTGCTAAAGAAGCTATAAAGGATGGAGACATAGTCCCATACATCAATTATTGTCATGATTTAGCTGCTCTTCCGAAAACCCATCTTTGGGAGTCATGGAATGATGTTTGGTTGAGAAGCAGCAAGTTCAAAGGCAAACATTATGCTGAAATTCAACCTAGGATCCCCAGTAGACCATGGTTCTTTGAGGTTAAAAGTTCTAAAACTGTCACTTCTATCATTTCCAGAATGCGTTTAGGACATGTTTGTACACCTCATCATTTAGCAAGGCTTCGTATTGTTGATAGTAATATTTGTGAGTATGGAGAAGATATTGGTGACCTCGACCATATTTTCTTTTCTTGTTCCCAATATGACCGTACCTCCTTTCTGAATTCTTTACAATCACTTCATGTTCCGTTTCCGACTAAAATCTCCTGCCTTTTGCTTTATCCTTTATTGTATTATAATGTATTATCTTCTTTCATAATCTATAATAATATTAAGATGTAATATGTTTTTGTACATATTTTGTTTTTAACCAGCTTATCCCTTTATTTCCTTTTGATGTCTTTGTTTATTTTATTTCGCGTGTAGTTTCCCAACCTTTTACTTGAAACTGGCATAAAGTTGAAGCTGTTGCCAAAAAGTTAAAAAAAAAAAAAAAAAAAACACATACCAGTTAATCCCAATTGCTTTCTTCTAAG